AATGGTTCATAATTATTTACCTGTAGCTGGAATCGATTTATTCGTAACAAATAGTAGGCATTGTTAAATACAGAAACCTGATCCATGCTTTCTGTCAGCCTGGGTTGAAAAGACAGGTAAATTGGGGAATTTCACGCACTTCTATAAAATCTTTAACTTTTGTGATGATTCCACCAATAGTTGGGCTGGATTTCCAGTGTACTACCCCAGTGAGGCATAACAAAATCCACTCCACATTTTAGATAGCACTCTGCAATGCTGGATAACTGACACCTGCTTTATTTTGGCAAGGTTAGCGCATACAGTAAATGAGATGATAATGATGATAAATGGCATCTATGACATTAGCACCTCATACATGCTTGTCATTTAAAGGTGCAGTTTTCTATTGGAAACAGAATATCAGTCAGCATTGATCAGAAAATAGAAGAGTTAGGTGTGAAGTAGAATTTCCTGACATCAATTCTACATTTGCACAAACTAATAAATTTATGCAGAGATTCATTATACTTGTTAGTGTAATACCAACAGACTGAGTTTATAAATGCTATCAGGTTCTGTATCTAGTGAAATAACTCCAGGTGCTGTCATCAAGTCACCCTTTATTTACACGTGAAAAGTCTCCCTCGGAGCCAGCTCTCAGAGTGAACAGGATGTCTGACACTCCTGTTTTTATCTATCAGCCAAGACTCCCTGATTGGAGCAGATTAACAGCCCAAGTCAGGGAACTCATATTTTATGCGGGCCACCTGGCTGACCTCATTACAATCACTACATCCCTCCCCCTGAGTCCAAGGACATCGGCTGGTTCTTTATTTTGTAGCTCCTCCTGGGGTGTTTCAGCATCGGGTCAGGTTCCTCCAACTGTGTCTCTGGTATAGTTGGCGTGTAACCCACCATAGCTTGCCTCTTGTATCCGGAGAATTTCGGAAGAAATTCATTCTCCTCTTCAGGTAGCAAAGATTAGAAGTGGAGACATCCACCATGTTCATTTCAGATTCCTAGGTATCTTCAACACTTGACAGAGAGGGAGAATCCATGGGTACCGGAAGAGTCGGAAAGGCTATTGAGCAGCTGGGCATGTTTTGCTCCTGCACCGTTTGTGAGTTTGCAGCTTTCATATGATCCATCTGCTTGCTCAGGACCAGTGCACCTACCTGAACTTTATACATCACTTCTCTCTCACTTAGCAGATTCTTGTGTCTGGCAGTGGCATTCCTGATGCCGTTTCACCTACCCCCCTCCACCACCCACACCCCTCCCAACCCAAAAGATCCAGGAAGATCAGATTTAACCTGGTGTGGAGTCTTCGCCCCATTAGCATCTCTTTTGAAGCTATCCCTGTAGTTGCATGAAGGGTGATCTTATAATCAAATAGGGACCAGGACAGTTTGGTATCTAGTGACGCTGTGGGCTGCTTCTTCAAGCCTGCCTTCAAAGTTTGGACTGCTCTTTCTGCCAGGCCATTAGGTGATGGATGGTGTGGAGCTGTCCTTACGTTGAATACTATTCAACTTTAGGAAATGCTCAAAATCCCTGCTGGTAAGTGATGGTCTGTTATCTTTAACCAACATTTCCGGAGTCCATGCATTGCAAAGGATGAGCGCCATTTTTCTATTGTTGTCCTCATGTTTGACGAATCAACTCTCTGCCTGTTCAGCTATTTTGAGTGGGTGCCCACAATGACTGAGAACATGAAAGGACCTGCATAGTTGACATGTAATTGAGTCCAGGGTTTACCAGCCATTCCCAAGAATGTGGGGGAGCATGTAAACAATCATTACACCTAGATTAAACTATCTTCAAAACTTGGTTTCAAAGCAATAATTCCGCTGGGACGATTCACAGTACAGTCCATATGACATGTAATTTTATTAGGGCTATCTTGATTTGATAAAATAAGGAATGATACAACACAGGAGGAGGACATTCGGTCCATTCCGACTGTGCAAGTCCAATGAAAGACCTATCCAAACAGTTGCATGGTCCAGTCCTTCCCTGTATCTTTTTGAGAAAAGTTTGAAACTTATAAATGTTTAGACAAATTTGGATGTACTCTTCGGTATACGCTTACAAGAACACAGAAAGCTAGCACATAGGGGCAGCAATCAAATAGGAAGGCAAATGGAATGTTGGCCTTGTTGCATGGAAATTGGCATGAAAGAATAAGTAAGGCTTACTGCAATTGTACCAGTTTTTGGAGAAATTACACTTTATGTACTATGTACAATTTTGCTCTGCATATTTAAGGATTGCAATTGACACAGTGAAGGTTCACCAAATTTGCTCCTATAATGAAAATGTTAGCCTTTGTTGACAGACTGTGTCTATACTCTCATTGAAGCATACAAGATCCTGAAGGCAAATAACAGGGTAAACACACAGAGGTTGCTTCCCCGATTAGGGAATACAGGAAACAGGAATACAGCCTCAGGATAAGAGGACATTCATTTAGGACGAAAATGAGGAGAAATTTCTTCAAAGGATTATGAATCATTGGAATTCTCCACTTCAATGTGTTGTGGATACGCTATCATTGAAAGTATTTAAGGTTGAGATAGACATTTTGTCTGTCAGAGATATAAAGGGACTTGGGTACCACATAAGAAAGTGAGGGTAAGACCAAAGATCAGTCATGACTATACTGAATAGCAGAATATTTTATGTTCTTACGTTTTTAATGACTATGTGAAGGTGAATACATGACTGCTTTCCTGTTTAGATGTGTAAGATTGCCCTTATGAAATAAAGTTTAAGAAAAGAAACATGATATATGTTAATTGCATAAGCTTAATGTTATAGCATGCACACTACTACTGACATCTCAAATGAATCATTATATTTATATTTAAATAGGAGTTTATCACAATTGCGACATACGATTCTATAAACCATCTTCTGTGAAATTCCGTTACAAATCTGGTGTCAAATCATTATTCATCATTGACACGATCTAATCAACTATCAAATGTATTTTGCTGGGTTCACAAATGTCGTACAATTTAATTTCTATTACTATTTAATTTCATTACAGCAAACAAAAATTTGCTGAAATTGCTTGAAAGGAAACTCTGCCAGATCAATTCACAAACAAATAACATTTCAGTAACACCAATCTATAGAAACTCTTCCCTGTGGTTAGCAATTCTGGGTGTGAACTGATTCTCATTATTTAAATTTCAGAAATCAGAGAATCATAGAATCCCTAAAGTGCGGAAACAGGCCATTTGGCCCATCGAGTCCACATTGACCCAGACCCACCCTCCTATCCTATCCCTGTAACTCTGCATTTCCCATGGTTAATCCACATAATCTGCACATCCTTGGACACTATTGGCAATTTAGCATGGCCAATCTACCTCACCTGCACACCCTTGGGCTGTGGGAGGAAACCAAAGCACCCAGAGGAAACTCTCGCCGACATGGGGAGAATGTACAAACTCCACACAGACAGTCTTCTGAGGGTGGAATTGAACTCAGGTGCTGTGATGCAGCAGTGCTAACCATTGAACCACTGTGTGACCATAGTAACTTGGAAGTAACTTAAAAAAATTGTAAGTGGCATTTAGATGCACATTACAGAAATGGATTTGAGATTTTCAATGTAAATGAAATTAATTTGTCAATTCCACACACATTTTGCAAGCTTAACATGTAATTGTACTTAATTGCAATAAGTCTACAATGTGGGGATGTGTGCTTACCTATATAAGAGCGCAACCTTAAGGTGTGTATTTTAATTGCTATAACTGAGCAAACACTGCTCAGCCGTTGCCAACAGAATGCAATCACTATTTCTACTCCTTCTTTCATGTTCATTCCATTGTAATATAATTTATTTCTTTGAGTAGCTTTATCTTCACTCTTTTTTATTCATTTATTATATGTAGGCATCACTGGGTAAGCCAGCATTTATTGCTCAACCATTAATACATTGTATACTTGAGTTCTATCCTTTCTTACTTTGACAAAAGGCCTTATATATCAGGTGGAAAAGTGTTTGCAGGGAAATAAAAGAGAAAAATGTGATACTTTGTAACATTTAAATGAGAATTGTTTAAATGGAGCTAATGATGTGGATACTAATACTCCCCACTTGTCAGGATGAGTGCAGCTCCAGTCACACTCAAGACGTTTGACACCATCCAGGACAAAGCAGCTCTTTTGATTAACACAACATCCACAAACATGCATTTCCTTCACCACTGACACTCAGTAGCAGCAATGTGTACCATCTACATGATACACTACATGAACTCACCAAGGCTCCTTAAGGCAGCAGCTCATAATCAACTCACAACCACGACCATCTAAAAGGACAAAGGCAGGAGATGCTACCACCTGCAAATTCCCCTCCAAGTCGCTCACCGTCCTAACTCGGAAATATATCAGCGTTCCTTCAGTGTGACAGCATCAAAATTCTGGAACTCCCTCCCTAACAGCTTTGTGGATTACCTTTCGCACATGGACTGCAGCAGCTCAAGAAATCAGCTCACTGCCACCTTCTCAAGGGCAATGAGAGACGGCCAGTAAATGCTGGTCCAGGCAGTGGCTCCCACATCCCATTAATGAATTAAAAAGCCTTTAATTATGGATTGATTGATAGCTCTTGGGATACATTATCACTTATGAATCAATGAACATAAAACATGTTCCTTTGTTCATTAATTCACAGGATATGGGTACTACTGGCAAAACAACATTCCTTCTCCATTTTTGTCCTTGAGGAGGTGAAGGTAAACCACCTTTTTGAAACATTACATTCCATATTGCGAAGGTGGTGCTGTTAGCAGAAAGTTGTAGGATTTTTACCTATTGGTCATTTATTTCTGCGTAGCCACCCTGAGTTTTGACTGTAAGTCTTGCTGCAGCTTCTAGCAGAATATGTGGAAAACTCCAAACTACAGGCAAATATCTGTGGAATTTTCAAAAGAGGGGTTAGTGAGGAAACTGTTCAGGATGGAAGGGTTTCAGAAAGTGGACCTGTGCGGCATTCCTACCTTCTTGGATCGTTTTGATTTCTTTGACATGTTCTTCACTTTCTTGTGGAGGTGAAACAGAACCTAGAGGAGAGGCAAAAGATCATTAGATTGCAGTGGTGTGAAGGAAGGAGAAGTTTGTTGGATCTTTCCAGCTACACACAGAATCGTAGAGTCATACAGCTGTACAGCATGGAAACAGACCCTTTGGTCCAACTCATCCAGCTGACCAGATATCCTACATAAATCTAGTCGCATTTGCCAGCATTTAGCCCATATCCCTCTAAACACTTCCTGTTGATATACCCATCCAGATGTCTATGTTGTTATTGTACCCATCTCCACCACTTCCTCTGGCAGCTCATTCCATGCAAACACCACCCTCTGCAAGAAAAAGTTGCCCCTTAGGTTCCTTTTATATCTTTCCTCTTTCACCTTAAACCTATGCCCTCTAGTTTAATGACAGCTGGTGAAATCTAGCAGGACAGTTGTATGACACTGAGGCACAGTTGTAGACTGAGCTAAATGCCTTATTTTGCTGAATTTTAGATAAATGATATAGTTCCAGGAATATCTGTCATGAGATCCTCAGCAGTTCCTGCCTGGGTATGGAAACCTTTCTAACAAGCAGGTCGAAGCCACACTCCCGCCGACTGTCAAGATTAAAATGTAACCTTGAAAGAAAAAATGCAATGCAAGCCGTGCCCACATTTTATAATTCCTACACTTTGGAATCTTGTCAAGAGCTCACGGGAAACTCACCTGTTGCATTTTGCTGAAGTAGTCTTACGGAGAGAGAGCAATTAATACACTCATCGTTTGCACTGAGTGTAAAATTAAACCTGCTGCCCCCTGTAATCTGTTGCTAGCCTTCCCTTTCTAGTTCCCTCGATCCCCGAATTCAGTTTTCCAGTCGCTCTTCAGGGACAAGGGACACGGGAAGCAGATGCCTTTGGACTTCAAACCATAACAATCACTGCAGGCTGCTATCATTTATTGACCTCCTCTCAAATTACCTTGGCGTAGCAGCAGCAGATCAGCAGCAAGGGCAGTAAGTAACCGATGACCACGATGGTGACCTTGTAGAGCTGCCTGAGGGTGCGATCGTGCCAAACTTCCCAGCAGAAGGAGCAGTTAGGGGCGCGGTGGTAGCCAGTGACCAGGCTCTGGTGCTGAGCGACCGGGACGGCGCTGAGTAAGGACAGCAACCAGATCCCTGCCACTGCCACAGAGGCGTTCCTCTTGTTGCGGATGGCCGGGGGTCGCTTGGAGTGCACCACCGCGATGTAGCGGTCCACCGACATAGTGACCAGCGTGAAGATACTGACCAGCATGGAGACCGTGAAGGAGTAGTGCACCGACTTACAGAGGAAAGCGCCGAAGACCCACTCGGGCAGGGAGTAGATGGTGGCTTGGAAAGGCACACAGCACAGCAGGAAGGACAGGTCAGCCACGCTGAGGTTCAGGATGAACGTGTTGGTGGTGCTCCGAGACCTCCGCGATTTGGTCCTCCCCAGCACCACGATCACCAGGCTGTTGCCCACCATGCCCAGGACGAAGATTAAACTGAAAGCGACTGGCACGATCACCACCTCCGGTCCGCCAGCCACCCCGACAGAGCTCAGGTTCACCCGGGACACACTCTCGTTGCTGGCTTCGTAACTGCCCGGGTCCATCTCTCCCTCTCTGACCCCTGTCGCTGCTTCCAGTCAGGAGACGCTGCTGGATGGAGCCAGGGCACAGGCTGGAGCTGATCTCGGGGGTGGGAAATCAAAGCGTTCCTTTTTCCCCTTAACCCTCCCTCTCCCTTCAGTGACTGGGTATCAGTCTCATCCGATTGCAGCACACTGTAAGGCAAAGGGCGCTTTTACCGTATCTACCCAGCATCTCCACTGTAATTACTCAGATATCAGCTTCTTAAAGAGGCACCGCTTACAATTACTGCCTCTAAATATAATCCAAATGTTGCAGCAGTCATATTCAATTCGGAATGTGGTTCTTTATACATTCGGTACTTAAAACATGAACGCATTAAATTTTATCCGTGGACTGAAGTTCGACGTGTTTCTATCCAGTTGCCTTGTTCAAAACAGGGACAATGACTTGGAATCAATCCTTTGCAACATCCAACCGGCTCAGACTGCGCATTAAGTGCACTAGGCGTAAACAGATAGGGGGTTTCAAACATCTCCTGTTGACATTTAGTTGCACTACCATCGCCTAACTCCTCCCCATGCTCACTGCAGCAAGATCCTGGGTGGGGAAACCAGAAGTGACCTGAATGAGCCACATGAATACCGTGGCCGCAAGAGCAGCTGAGACGCTAGAAATCCTACAGCCAGTAGTTCAACCAGCACCCCCCTCCCCCAAACCTACTCCCCAAAGCTTCTCCACCATCTACAAGGAAGGGGTCAAGAAAAAAAAAGATTATTATTTGGGGAATGTGCCAGAAAAGAAAGTAAGCTCCCTGCCTAAGCCTGGAATGTTTTATGCTTAAATGTATATTAAAAGAAGGGCCTAGGCCAGAAACGTCAGCTTTCCTGCTCCTATGATGCTGCTTGGCCTGCTGTGTTCATCCAGCTCTCCACCCTGTTATCTCAACCTACATGAGTGATGTGGTGGAATATCCTTCATTTCACCAACAACACTCAATAAGCTCCATACCAACCAGACAGAGCTTCATCAACTTCTCAATGCCCACCTTAAATATTCACTGCAATCATGACTGATGAACAGTGACAGCAGTGTGTATTATATACATTTCACACTACGAAACCTGCAAAGTTTTTTCAACAGCTCCTTTGAAACCCACAAACTCTACCACCCAGATGGACTTGAGCAGCAGATGCAGAAGAATAACATTGCTTGCAAGTCCCCTTTTAAATGTCACACCGTCCTGACTTGGAACTGTATTGCCAATCCTTCACCATTGATGAGTCAGAACACTGGAACTGCCCTCACAGCCTCATCATTAGTGGCGCATCAGTTGGACTGTGACTGTTCAAGGAGGTGACTGAGCACCACAGTCTCAAGGACAATTAGGGATGAACACTGAGTGCTGACATCGCCAGTATCACCTACATCTTATGAACAGATAATGAACATAATTCACACAGATTCATTTTCAGTAATTCATAATTAAACCAAAGTACCTAGAATTTTTTGTGCATACTGATTGTGAACATGCATTCAGGATCGGAATCCAACTGTAAACTTGTGCCAGAGAGAGTTAGGATTCCTACTGAAACAATTTTCTACAATTGACCAGTACATTAGCTATAAACACCAACATTACCAATGTGCCTATGTTATCTGTAAATAGTCTCAGTTCACAAAGAAATTTACTGCAAACCATGGACAGCTCTTTAATTTAGTCATCTCAATCACTGATGTAGTGTTGGCGCCTGCTTGCTCATAGACATGAGAAGCCACTGGGATTGGGATGATTCATTTCCTAAGGGGTAGTTTGACAGGCATGGAACAAATAACACACACTCGCAGTTCTGTATCACTTCATTTTCACCAGTCTAAAGGGCCACTTTATCCTAAACTGTTCTTAAGTTCTCAGTCACACACTATCCTATTTCACATCTGGATATATCCCAGGACCATCTGTGGGCTTCTATGTATGAAGGCAAAACCATTAGTGAAACTAAAGTACTGGCAATTAGATATCAATTATTGTACTGCAGCCTGTGCTATCTTAACTTATTAAAACCATATATTACTGAACAAACTCTGAAACTGCCTGGTTTTCATATGCAAACCATACCAAGGATGTAGGTGTTGAGAAAATAAGGGAGCGCTATGTCAGGAAACTTCCTGATGCATTCCTGTTGTTGGAGGGGCACGGCAAACCAGCATATCCAACACCTTAAGTAGCGGAGATTTTGCGGTCTCACTGGCATTTTGCCATTGGCAGAGTAGGTTCCTGCCATGTACAGAGGTGAACAGCTCAATGCCTCTGGCTGTTTTGGGTCATTCAGCATTATAAGCGGGGCCTGTCTTTATCAAAAGCAGGAACAGTTCTGAAGAAGGGTCCCAACCCAAAATGTCAACTTGCCTGCTCCTCTGATGCTGCCTGACCTGCTGTGTGCCTCCAGCTCCACACTGTGTTGTCTCCCACTTGCTATCTTTGCGTTGAGGCAGCTTTGTGGTCCCTGACTTAGCCTGTCCTATTGGGGAGAGATTACACTAGCAGCATCAGTAGCCCAGCGACTATGTTTAATAAGCTGCTGAATGCAGACACAGCCAGTAAGGAGGCCTGCACTGAGAAGATCACTGAGCAGTCTGGCTCCAAGCAGAGCTGCATTGGGAATTCCCATTTGGACTCCTTTTGGTATCCTAAAGACCACAGTAAAACACAGCCACATCTGCATCAATCTCACCAGAAGAAGTTGTGAAGCTAAATTTGTAGAAAGTAGGAGCAGGAGGAGGCCATTCAGCCCATTGAGTCTGATCTGCAATTCAATATAATCATGACTGATCCGCTATCTGAATGTCAGATCTCAATACCACATTCCTGCTTTCTCCCCATACCCATTGGTGCCTTTAAAGTACCCTTCTGAGGAAGAGTCACTCAACCTGAAACATCAACTCTGATTTCTCTCCACAGATGTTTCCAGACCTGCTGAGCTTTTCCAGCAATTTCTATTTTTGTTTCTGATTTACAGCATCCGCAGTTCTTTTGGGCTTTTTTTTCAAAAATTCTCTATCTCTTTTTTGGAAATATTCAATGACTTCTTCTATAGCCTTCTGTGACCCTTTGAGTGAAGAAATATTTCCTTATCTTAGTTCTAAATGGCCTTTGCAACATCTAACCAGCTCAAATCTCTGGTCTAAATCCCCAGCCAAGGGAAACACCCTCTCTGCATCTCGTCTATCCAGCCCTGTTAGACTTTTACACATTTCACACGGTGGAAACACATTTTGGGCAGCATGGTGGCTCAGTGTTTAGCACTGCTGCCTCATAATGCCAGGAGCCGAAGTTTGATTCCAGCCTTGGGTGACTGTCTGCGTGTTCTCTGCATGTTCTCTCCATGTCTGCATGGGTTTCCTCCGGGTGCTCCGGTTTCCTTCGACAGTCCAATGATATGCAGGTTAAGTGGATTGGCCATGCTAAATTGTCCCATAGTGTCCAGGGATGTACAGGCTAGGTGGATTGGCCATGCTAAATTTGCGGTTAAACGGATGCTCTTAGGAGGGTTGTCAGTGTAGATCTGATGGGCCAAATGGCCTCTACTTGCACTATAGGAATTCGATGATTCAAATTCCCTCTCATCCCTCTAAATTCTCATGAATACAAGTTCAGTCAAACCAATCTCTCCGCACAACACAGAACTACTGTTCTTGATATCAGCCTAATCAACCTCCAGTGCACTCCTTTTCAGGGCAAGAACAACCTTTCTTAGGTAGGGAGATCAAAACTGCATGCACTAGTCCAGGTATGGTCACACTAATGCCCTGTACAACTGCAGAAAGACATCCCTAATTCCAACTTTAAATACTCTTGTAACGAAGGCTAATAGGCCATATTTGCATTCCTAAGCACCTGTTCTTTCCTGTTTACCTACCTATAGAAGCTATTATTGTCCGTTTTTATGTTTTTTATTTTGCTAGTTTACATTCATATTCTATTCTCTGTTTCTTGGCCTTCCTTTGCGGTATTGTAAACTACTCCTAATCCTCAGGTTTTTTTTATTATTTCTGATAACATTATAATCTTGTTCAATCCCTATCTTCCCTTAGCCACAGTTGACTAACATTTTAAAGTTTGAGTCTCAAAGAATGGACAGTTGCTATGTACTATGTAATAATCATTTTTTAAAGATTATCCATTGCCTATGTACTGTCATATCTTTTCATGTATTGAGCCAACTGCCCTTAGCCAATTTGCCCTCATACCTTCATTATTCGTTTTGTTCCTGGCTTCAGATTGAACTACCTCACTTTTGAACATAATGTAAAGTTCAATCTTATAAAAGTCACACATTTTACACTAATACTTTAGAAAAAAAAAATTTGCCAATTTTAGATCAGTGGTTAAACACACTAATTGGTTTTGTGTATCAGTCGTACTCCAAAGACTTGAACACCAAATCTAGGTTGACCCTCCAGAGCTGTACAGAGGGTGTGACATTGTTTCAAGTGCCATTTTTCATATAAGACGTGAAGTTAAGTCTTTGTAAGCCCTCATGGGTCTACACAAAAGATCCTAAAGCAGAACTTCAAAGAGGATCTGGAGCTCTCCCCAACATTGCTAAAATAAAAGCAAGATATTATAGATGCTAAAGATCTGAAATAGAAGACCCGATGTTTCAAGTCTGACTGCATTTGTGGAAAGCATGCATTTAAAATCTAATATGACTCATCTTGAGAACTGACATCAGTCTGCACAATAGTAAAAACAAAATGACCTAGATTAGTTATTAGATTGGAGGGAAAGACCCTCCATTGGATTGATAGTAGATACTACTGTGGCCTCTTATAAAGATAGAACTCTGTGTGGTTTGCATGGTGGCTCTAGACAGCCACAGGGAAGGCATCTACATTGGCCTCAACACGTGTCAAGGGCTTACCCCACCACTGGCAATGAGGTCCCAAGAAGAGTCATGTTGATCTTGAAATATTAGCTCCTGTTTTTCTCCGCTGTAAGACCTGCTGAATTCTCCGGTTC